CTTGACGATAGGCGCGACAGCCTCATCATCCCGATACGCCATGCGTAACCGATCGTATAGATCCGTTGTCACCCGCGTGATGTGGGCCAACTCATAGTCAGGACGCCGGGAGAGGGCGTCCGGTTGCGAGATGATGTTGGATGATTGGAGAGCTCGGATCCACGGCGAGTGTACCATTACAGTGAGGTGGATCCAAGCGACCTGGATCCGGATGAGTGTACCCATAATAGGGTGACCATGATGATTACGTCATATATCCGGTGGATCTGAAGATAACACAGCTGGGATGATGGGTCAAGGGAAGAAGGGACATGCAGCCGAGCCTGGTAAGGGATTTAGCAGATGAAAGACATAGAAGGTAGAAACCCAGGCAGGTATAGGCTTAAATATCAATACAGTCCTCAATTTGCACAGTATCACGCAAGTGCCTTCCTGCCCTCAAGAACCGGAACTACATTGGCCGTACGAGCTCCGAGAAGGTTGGGAATTGCGAATCTAGTGTTGGTAGTGATAACTGGATAATACATTGGCCAGATCCTACAACCTAGTGAGCTTTTCCTTTACTCGTGCAGATCCGACAGGTTAACCGAATTTACTACTTGGTCGGTTACACCCTAGAGGTTCTCAACTCTCAAGATCCCGTCACAGGAGGCGGCAAGTACGACTTAAAGGACAGCACAAAGGCAAGGGAACACACCCGCAAGGCAACCCTACGGCCAGATCCACGATCTAGGCCCCGGATCCATAAGCTCGAATATTCGCTTAGGATACGGAACCATCCACGGACGCAGAGTGAAGATTTTCCACTGCTGCTCCACCCCATCCCCACGTCTCGCCAAGACACTCAAGCTTCACCACTTGAACTCTTCGGAAGTTACCGAGAGAGCAGATCCCGCCCTACCGACGGGTACACAAGGTGAGGAAAGGTCAGCAGAACACGGGATCATCGGGGGACCCCCTCCGTTAGTCGGTGTCTGGGCGCAGTTGGTAAGTTGGATCTGGCAATCTCGCAGATTTTGCTGATCCCGCTACACCACATCTTCTAAATGAGCGAGGAGAAGCCGGAGATTGTCAGCTGCCGTGTTGGACCTGCACACGAGCCTATGGACCAAAATCTTCGACGGTCGATTGACGGCATACAGACAGACGCCGCAAAAGTGCAAACTCTGCTAGCTGCGTACTTAGAGCCTCTACAGCCACCGCCTCAGAATTTCTAGAAAAGCAGCAAATGTACAACAAGGTAAGACCGTACGTCCCTTCCGAGTTTGCGTCGGATCCCCTGTACGCAGCTCTACGGATGAGGAAGAGCGCCTCGCGAAGGAGGCTAAGCAGGCACGTCGAAACGCAAGTGCCAAAAAAAAAAAGAGAGACGCTGCAGTTTCTGATGAGGCGAAGGTTGCCCCGGTTGAAAGTGAAGAAGGGAATGAAGGCCGTGCAAACGTGTTGAAAGCTACACCAGCGCAGCCCAAGACTGGAACCCGAAGCCGAAAGCGCGCAAAGAAAGATAATTAGGTCAATTCGTGAGTGGAATGTTAGCAATACATCAGAATGATCCTTCCATCCTATACCCAAATACCCCAAAAAATAAAAATGATGTACCCAAAAATTCAAAATATACCCTTCAAAATTGAGATCTCCAACTTCAAACACATATTTAAAAAGGAAGTAATGCAAACTAGATACTGGGACCAGGTGCAATCGATTCAGTAAGAAAAATTGTTTCCAGGGGTCTACGAACATTTTTTCCGAAAACTTTTTTTTCAAGGAGACATGTTTTTCTGAGGATCGTCGCTCAGTGAGTTTTGTACTTTTTGTAGATCTGAATGCACCAATCAAAAGAGGAGATCATCCTCTTTCCAATGATGTGCCTAAATCGCGATTCGTACTTAGTTTTGTAAGCACCTTTTCGTTTGACGCCGTCTCAAATAAGACTCGAATTTCAATCGTTTTGATTTGATTTTACTAATGCGTATCATCGACCAATACAAAACTGCCAGCCATTATTCAGCACATATTGGTAGCGAACCACGATGTACACCGGTCGTGCTGGACTGTCGATGGACGTTGCGGTAACGCGGGGCAGAGGAAAACAACATCAACAGCTAAACTCGCTGCAAACAAAAGATGAAGGATGACGCTGCAGGTTATTCAGAAACGTTGCTGTGATCGAGTGCACGATCAGATTAGCAGCCGAAAGCAGAACGACGACACGCGGATTTATGGCTAAGATTTTATCTAAGACTCCACTTAGTTCCTCCCGGTGGGAGCTACTGTCCTCACCGCAGGTGTATCCCAAAATTTGGGGTTTTAAGCGACTCGTTAAGCCCTGAAGATCGCTGGAGATGCTGCGGTCTACTTAACCAACCATAATTTACACCTCTCATGTTGTGTTGTTGTCTTACCGCTCCATGTAAAACCTTATCCTACGCCCTTGTCGTCAGCACGTCCGCCTATTAAGTAGTACTGTATCATCTGTTTTTGCTGTCTATAAAACGCTTAGAAAACAATGGTCAAGCTCGATTCGCTTACAGCTGTAATTGTCATCAGCATATATAAGTTCTTTTTGCTCAATCTAAAACTACATATCTTTGTGGCTAAAGCGACAGCGTTTATTAGCACAGCGTTGTTCTTACGGCCGGCTACTACTGTACGTGTAACATGGACGATTTAACATTACCTCATAGAAACCCACTTAGATAACTTATTAATCTTAATATTTTTACAGCAACAAAAATGCTCTTATCATTTTAGTTATTCAAATGAGCTCTATTGTATCTCGCAGAAACTACTGAGTACAGAGTAGTACGCATATTAATAGTATGCACCTCGAGAACACGCATTCCTACGTAGCATTGGAAACAAGCCCTCATTCTAGCACTTGAATATAAAAACAACATGCATTATAAAAATAGTAAATAAATTAACCCCTCCAACCCGAAGCGATTTTTGTTTTTTGTTTTAAATTGCATATGCAACTTACCGTGACATGCTGTTTGTAAATAAAGGGTTGGGTCACTGGCGGGAAACGGGGTAAAGTCAGTCGTGAATGGGTATGGACCGGACTAAGCTGTTCATAAGGTGCATATTGGGAGCGGAAATGACCTGTACAGTCTGCATAATGCAGCATTACAGGACCTGTGACGGGGTCACACAGCACCTTGCGCTAGAGGAAGTAGCGCTTCAATTGACGAAATGAAAACATAGGTTTCGCACAAATACTTATGCTTTGTAAAGATACCCTAACCCTACAGACGCCCCTGTACGAACTGCAAATCTCAGGAAACGGAAGCTGCTTCCGACTTACTTGATTTTTGTATCAGTCTCTGTCTGAAGTGGCTTCCGCCATTAGAAACAACAAAATATGCGACTCTCGATTACATTTCCAATCGGAGCACTTTGTTCTATTCGTATTCGCGAGCACAGAAAATGTGAAAAAAAATATTGAATGTGCAAAAAGTTCGAAGGTGAGCAAAATAAGTTGTAGAAGGCCTCGAGTGCGTAAAGGAATTGACAAGATCAAAAGTACTATGTGGTTTTGACGAGACTGAGAGTACTATGACAAGACTAAAAATACTACAGCAAGACCAAAAATACTGATGAAATAATATATTACTTGCACTATAGGTGGGTATATTTCGACTTAACAACCCGACGCTTCCTGTCCAGGCGAATGCACCGTGCTAGCGTATCGATTGTAAGAACATTCAGGTTAAATTCGGCGGTGTATTTCAGCCAGTGCTTCGTGTAGTATGCATTATACATTGCCAGTATAGAATCGGTCGCGTTTTTGACATCTGAAGCTCCCATTTGAACAGCGAAATCTCTTACATCACTCCCAATCAGCTTGCAACACTCAGCCGGCTAGCGAAAACACCACTCCGCTTTCTCTCCAAAGCCGTCCACTCAATAACAGGCTTAAATAGGTGGCGGGCGGCGTCAGCGTTCCAGTACATTTTGTACATATCCCTCCACTTCTTTGCCGGCGGAAGACTTGATATCGGCTCTTTGCAGGATTCACCGACCGTATGTTCTTGTCTAGTGCTTGCAGTGCGGTGCTCAGTCGGCTGAATCATGGCCACAAGCATGTCGATCTTGTCTTCAATAGCTTTTCTTGATTTTTCTTAACGGTTTTTAGTCTCGTTTCGATTGACGAGGGGGGCGATGGAACATGAGCCGCTTTGTTACGTTTGCGTCGAGAAAATGTAGTAGGGCACCCTACATGAGCTTCGTGATCAGGGGCTAAGCTGTCGGCAAGTTAGGTGTCTTCATCAGTTGCTGCTTGATCTAAGAGGTATCGCACCAGGGTTTCTGCTGACTCGTTTTAAGTCCACCCAGTCCACCACATTACCATGCGAAGTGACCATCGTCGTTCAGGCGGCGCGAGCATAAATATGTACTGGGTGCCAGCGCGGCGGAATGTGTTAGAAGTGAACCAGATATATCGCCACTGTTGTCGAACGTAGCCCCGGGTGGTCACCCCATTGCGATTGAAATCTCGAACTGCACAGTTAAGCAATGTGATGAATGCCTGTTCGGACATCTCCTTACCCCACTCGACCCGTACATTCTCGCAACATGTATATACAGCGTCTGTCTTGATAACACTCTTCGATATTTTCGATAGCGCAGGGAAAATGTAGTCGTCGTCGTCCCACTTGTGATCGGTTTTTGTTTCGACGTACGTCAGCCATGTCGTCAGATGAGTAAGTACATCCAGCGGACTCTCGCTGTCATCCAGATAATGCATGTTGTAGCAGCGGCCTTCAGCAACTTGTCTTCCTTCCTTCAATTTTGTACACGCCATAGCTAATCGAAACTTCGGGGTCGGAGGTGCTCGGTCGCACAATGCCTAATGTAACGTTCTTCCACTTGAGATTATGCAATCCATTAATCCGGCACATACCGTATAAAGCAAAGCGGAGACAGCGAGGAACCACAAACGACTTGCCTCCGTGAGCCCGGGGGCGCTCTCCAAGTGGGAGTGGAGTGCTCGGAGCATATCCAACGAAATTGGTGTCGCTTGGCGCTGGGTGAATTCACTACTTTTGCGCTTCTTCAGTCCGCGCATAAACTGACGGACAAACGCATCCTTGGCTGGATTACCAAGTCCATACTTGTTACCTTGATCGTCTGTGAGTACCATCCACTTGTCAGGTCCTGCTGCGTCTCGACGTTCGTAACCTCCGCAGTAGTTTGCTACAGCTGCGCGAATCTTCTCTACGGTTTGGTTGGAAAGCGAAGCGGATGCAGAGTAACTTATATGAAGGCGACTAGTAGAGAAGGTAGCTCGTGATGTCGCGTAAGCGCTGGGTTGGGATACTCATTGGCGATACAAAACTCGCAGAACTTCCTGAAATATGATGCATACACATTCATTGTGTCCTGCTTAACCACGTGTGTTGCTGTGTCGATACCGCCTTGTAACAGCTCTTGGAATGATGCGGGGTGTCCTGCCATAAATACGATAGACACTGGCTGAGTATATGCTTGTCGTCCAGCCAAAATAACAATGAGCTGCAGAACCAATCATTTCAAGATTCGTACTTTTAGTCTTGTTTAGTACTTAAAGTCTAGTTGTTAGGGGGTAAATCCGATTGGTTAAAATTAAAACAAAAATTATCCCTTAATCTTCTTCACTATCCTTCTTCACTATCCGAATCAAAACCAAACACCTCCCGAAAGCGACGCTCGTCCGTCAGATCCTTCTCCTTTTCCTTCATCTTGTTCTCATATATCTTGTCTTTCTCGATAAAGCCCGCCATATATATCCCTTCAAACTAAGCTAAAACTTGCACAATTCTTGCCTTCTTTGAAGCTGTCAATTTCATCTTGAATTGGAGCTCTGAGAGCTGCGTTTTGGGCCTGTATCTCCTCACAACTGGTAAGCCACCGCTTGACGCGCTCGTTATACGTCGCTCGTAAATAGGCAAGATATTTTTGAAGGCGGGCC